GCAAAATGCCGCCTTGCTTTTATAAGCAAAATAGAATTCGTGACGGAAATACATTTTTTGTGTAGAATTTTGATATTCAAGAAAAAACATATATTCTTATAGTACAGTGTTATCAATATTGTTCACATCCGATAATAAACCAAAGTATAAATCTATTGAAAACTTGCTCTCAAATATATTGTACTCCTTCACTGTATATCCAAAACCTTGAAAAATAAAATCTTTTACAGCATACTTTGCTAAAGTACTCTCTTTTAATTTACTGGAGAATTTTACTTCACTAATGATTAAAACAGGTGATAACGAGCATTTGAGTACCATAAATAAATTTATGTTGAAAAATAATTTTTTTTGGGGGGATTTTTGAATACAATATCGACGTTTCATAAAAACTTTTGTGTGACTGACCAGGAAAGATGGTCCTTGACATCGACATATTGGATGCTAGTGGTGTAATCAGATTGTTTTACTTGTATCGAATATGTACAATCGGTCAACCATTGCTAATAATCGTTACATTTAGTTGTAGACAATGGCAGAGAAGCACACGTTTAGCATATTGCACCATCTATAAAGACTCTTACAAATCTCCAATCATAATGAAACAAATATATGCACATTATATTCAATTCAATCAACGTACAGTCTAAACTTTTTTTAGAAATTTCTGTACGTGAAACCCTTGAAAAATAGTGGAACCTGTTAGTAAACCCCCTAAATTTTGGACGTTTGGACAGTTTAAAAGCCCCCTGGCTTCTATTATGTGGCCGGGTTTAGTGTAGAAGTCGAAAAATAGGCCCTTCACGCTGTACTTTTGGATAGTTCTTTTATCCTACAGAAAAGTGTCTCAGGATTACGATGAATCTTCAGAAAACTGTTTAGCTGATTTCTAGTTGTGGATAGATCTAATAGGAATAGTCTATAATTCTGTAGAATAAGATAATTTGGCAATGGATTCTAAAGTCAAAAGTAATAATGTTAGAATGGCAACTCTTTGAGAAAGAAACAGAATAAATAGCCGTTGTAGACTACACTGTAAACTAGAAAATAACTTATAGAGTATCATAAACGATATTCTAGGAAAGTCCATACAAATTCATAGACGAATTTCTACTTTCTTGAAAATAAACTGTTGATATTCAAGTTTCGATTTTCTGTAGGAAATCTATTATTTAGAAAATCAAGCATTTTCTAAAAGTTTGAAATTCGACGGATGAATAATAAAAGTTTCAAAATGCTTTACCTTTTTCAAAGTCGATTTTCTATAAAAATAGAATTTCAAAAAAATTTACAGTGACTTTCGTTGTGTGCAAGTAGAAATGTCAACTAAGAAAATGGACAGTTGTAGTTGCGACTGGCTGTTAATGTTATCTCTACAGACAGCATTCATCTGTGAAGGTCGACTGAGGAGAACCGTGAGCATTGTCCTCTTCCTGAGTTACTATGTGCTGTATAAGCAACTAATATCTTTTGTAATTTATCAGTATAGCGAAATTATTTATGAATTTTTACAAATCACTAAATCAGAACAATCAAAGAAGAATGGGTAGAGCCATCACTTGTTGAGATATCAAATCAATAACGTTTTTCGCGTTACACAAGTTTTTATTACAGGCATAGATAATACCATGGTATTCAATATTATCCCTTTTATCAATAGCCAATGTGAGTCCAACCGGTTTCAAAAAGTTCTTTGGAATACATAACTGGTCAGAAAGTTTCAAATTCCCATCAATTAAACTGATCATTGCTTGACAAAATCCACCGTTACATTGAACCGTATCTCCTTGATGTGCACATGTTAATTCATCCGGATCATCAGGATTATACAACTCACCTATTATCTGTTGCCTAAATGTTGGAAGCATCGATACATTAAACTTTGTTAGAAGGTTAACTGCATAATCAATTCCACAATCATTTTGAAAACAAATCAATGTTATACTTGTTAGAATTTTGTTTTGTTTTAAGAATATATTTGCAGCGAATGCTGATAAATTAGTATTTACTAATACCGCGTGATCGTCACTCCATACGAAAGAAGCGTCTGCAACATTTTTCTCGTGACCAATGACTAATGTCGCTAGACAAAATTTACCCATTTCATAGTCACATTCGGTTATGTTAAAATCAGGATTTTGTAATGATATGTTTGGAAAAGAACAATGCAAACATTGAACATCTTCACTATAAACCAAATGACCGATGATCATCGATGCAAAAAGAATGAAAAAATGAACTAAACATGCCATACTT